ATATGACAAGAGCCAATCTGTCAGTGTGGGGCACAGCAGCTCGCAGTCATAGCACAGCATTTGGCTGATACCCCTGGCCTGGGGGATGCAAGGTGCCAGGCAGGCGTTGGACAATGGGCTGGGTGGGCAAGTGCCCGCAGGACTGGACAGATCTGCCAGGGTGCTCCTCACCCAGGTGTCCCCCTCTGCCCCCAGTGACAGCCCTGGATCGTGGTTGTTTTGCAGAGCCAGGCTTTGCCCCAAGGCCAGGCCATGGGGAGCTGCTGGCAGGGCTCTGCTCCACCCCATGCAGCTATGACAGCTTCAGAGAGTTGTTAGCAAGCAAGGCGCGCTTGACGTGAATAATTAAAACACCTGCTGTGCTTTTAAATCGTTCCGAGCCAGCCTGGGAGCTGCATGTGTGAGCCATGGCTGCTGTCTGTGGAGGAGGCCAGAGGAAAGAGGAGGGCTGGTATCCAGTGGAAAATTCAGAGCTTGGTGCTGCTTCTGGCAGGAGGAGGGATGATGCTGGCAGCTTCCAGAGGGATGCAGGCAGTCCCTGCTCCTGAGGGAGACTGGAGGCTGACACAGCTCTCCTTGCTGATGAACAGGCATCACAGCACAGAAATCTCCAAAATCTCCTCTCTGCCAAAAATTTGAACAGCAGTTGAGCTCAGCACCCACCCTTCCAGCTGCCCCAGGGATCTCATGCTGGTTCAGCTCTCCAAACCTGTAGGACAAGGACGTGGAGCAGGGGAACAGGGACAACCCCACAGCCTTGGGTCTCCATCAGCACTGGCTGCGTGGGGCCCCTCAACTGAGCAGACACATGTGGGCTCTGGGGAGGATGCACTGTCTTTTGTAAAGATTTCCCCAAGATATCAATTAGACGTTGAAATCAAAGCAGTTTCTGCATGAACAACTAACAAAGAGTTCCCTGCAGTCTCTCAGCAGCCAGACTCCTTCTGTTCCTACCCCCAGCTGCCAGAGTTTGTATCAGAATAGCACTGAAGGGCCCCGTGCCCCAGCACAGAGGAGCTTCATTGAGCAGGGGAAGATATCAAACACTGTGGCTGTGTCAGTGCTGGTGGAGCATGGAGCTGTAAATCATCTCTTCTCGTGAAAAAAATGGGTTTCTGGGCAGGGGATGCAGGGGAAAATGACATTTTCCATGAGTTAGTTTCAGATTGAATTAAACTATTGTTTGACCATAGATCAATATCTTTGTATATATGTATTTATATATATTTTGCTGTGGAGACCCTGGACAATTCCAGTTTGGGGTCACTGTGCAGTGATTTTTTTTTTCCTCTTTTTTATTTTTACTTCAACCAGTGAACCAAAAAATTGGTTATTTTCACAGCTTTGCCATGATTACCTCCAGGGCACGTAAAAGCAAACTTTTTAGAGATGGGGAAAAAAGGTCTGTTTGGGGACTGGCATGATGAGGAGACAGAGGGAGCTGTGTGCTGACAGCTTTGCGAGAGTATGTGAACATCATCTGGATGTTTGGTCTGTTCCCATGTGGGGAGTGGGAGTTGCCACCTGCACCTCTTTCCTGTGGCCCTTTGCCCATGAAAGGCCAGGGCTCCTGAGCTGAAGATCAACAAATTAGTCTTCTTCTCCCTCACTGCAGAACGTTATCCATCTAAATATTTCCTTTAATTTAGAGCCATGTAGAGTTTGAAAAGCCCTTCAAGTTCACTTGGGCTGATGAATTGGTAATTGAGTGTACCTGGATGTCAGTGCCGGCTCTGCCTCTCTCTGCATTTGTATCAGCTCCTGTTTGTTTTCTCCAGCTGTAAATCACTCAGAACTTGGAGAGGCTTTTATCAAATCCTGCTAGGAACCAGTCATTCTCCCTTTCACAAACACATTGCTAATGCCACGTGGAACCCACTGGCTTTGCTGTTCATTTAAAAACAATGAGGATGGTATTAAATGGGAAGAAAAAATCCTTAGCAACAAGGGAGAAGGAGGAGGAAAAGAATTGCTCCTGTCTCTCTGGAGTTGGCTCCTTTGGTCTAATGTCTGTCCCACTGATCTCCTAATATGCTCTGCTTTGAGAGCCTGATTTATTGCTCCACACTGCTTTGTCCCCCTGGGTATTACAGCACATGTTGTTCTCAGATTCTTCAGCCACCAGGAGGTCAGCTGCCAGCCTTGGTCAACCCTCACCAGTGCTTCCACCTCCTGTGTCCCTTTCTCCACAGCCCTGGCCAGCCCTGGGCATGGGGAGATAAGCAGGTGATTTTAAGGGTTTCAGTGGGCCAGGGTCATCATCTTAAGGTCTCCAGGTTCTCCAGTGTGTCCTTGGTGAATTGCTCTCCAGTGGTGTTGATGATACCTGGCTGTCTCCATCAGTTACAGACCACAGCTGGCTCCCCTCCCACATTGCCCATATCCATGGCTCAGTCCAGTAAATGTGCTCCAGCACTGACAGATTTGGCAAAAGGGAATTTCAAAGAGGAGAGGTAACAGTCCTGATTCGCTTTTCTTGGAGCTGCTCTGATCCCTCACCCAGTGGAAGGACTGGAGGAACAGCACCACATGTCTGGCATAACCCATCCAGCCAGCCTGTGCTTGAATGTAGATTTTTTTTTCAATGATCTGTTACTTTGCTGTTTGCTCAGTGGAAAAAAACAGAAGTTATAACCATTAACAAAGAGACGTGAGGACTTTGCAATCTGTGTGTGAATGTTTCGTGAGCATAAAATGAGGTGAAGTTTGCCAAACGATTATTCATTAGGAATTGTTCATTCAGCTCTAATTGCTTGGGTCTAACTGCTCTTAGAAGGACTGTGTGGCACCTTTGTAATATAATATGCAGTTAAGGTCAGAAAAGTGCTGGTAGAAATTACGTCATGTTAAGTCAAGCTTTTCTTTGGGTGTAAGGGGGCTATTCCTGCTTAGCTTAGGAAGAGCAGTAAATGATGCTGCCTGACTTCTTGTTGGGCCTGTACAGCCCAGTTAGCTAATGGAGGGTGAGTGGTGCCTTATTGACTCCCCTTTCTCTGTGGAAGGAGTAATTAAATTCACCTGCAGAATCCCCATCTTCTCATGCGTGGCAGTGTGCAACTTCCCTGCATCTCAGCTAACTAGATTAGAGATTACTCATCTGATGAGAAAGCACCAGCTAGAAAGGGCCTGGCTTGGCTTTCAGATCCCAGCTGTTATTTGCAGGATTTATGCTTAGGAGAAGCATCACTTTCTTTTGTTTTGCTTCTAACCTGATAAACTTTGTCTGGAAACCCAGAGGAACAAGCACCAGGGAGCCCCACTGTCTGTCTTCCAGCAGCATTTTCGGAAATGGAACAGTACTTTAAAGTCTCGCCAGCTCAGCCTTTCACTTCACAGAATACGTACCTGTCTCTAAAACACCAGCTTATTTTTCCTTACCCCCATAATATTCCCATCCAACATTCACTCTCCTGGAAATCACCAATGCAATGTTCACCTACCTGCATTCAAACACCTGTCATTGTTCTTGTGCTACTGCTCTTCTCCTTCCAATTCAGAGATTACATTTCACAACTGACCTCCAACTACCTATTGCCTCCCCGTGACACTTCACCCTTGTCTGCCTGATTGATTAGTCTATTATGCTCTGCACTCCTCCTGATGACTTACAGATTGCCCAGTATCTGTCACAGCCTTCCTTTTGTTCTCTAATATTCTTGGAGTTTTGGAACGCCCTCCGGCTGCCATTCTCTCTCCATATTCCCTGGTCACCACCTGCCTCTCTTATGAATGTCTAGTTTGGAAAAATGACAAGAAATCTTTTGCAAAATGAACCCCTACCTGCTGTGAGTTCACACATGTGCTGGTAAAACACACTTCTGAGACACTGTCATTTTCAATGCGGCTCTTTATTTTCTTTGCACAATTTGGAGGTATAAAAATGTCACTAGATCAGGCTGTGATCAGTGATGTGGCTTGGAAGGCAGCTTTCCCCAGGAAACTTCCTCACCTGCATAAGTCATTGAAGCAGTGACAGAGAGGGAGCAATGTTGTGTTTAATGGTGTGGGGGGTAGGAGGGTTCTCTGTCTGCTGGGGGAGAGGTCTGGGATGTGTCCCGGATCCATCCGTCTCCCTGTGCTTGTCAGAGGTTGTCCAGCTCTCTGATATTGTTCCAGGCTTGTCCCAGCTCTGTCCATCACTCTGACATTTAATTAACTGCCCCATTCTCCTGGATCTTGCACCGGATTTGTGTTGTCTTTCTGAAATACCTCTTAGGTCATGTCTGAATATTACTAACAGGAGGAGTAACAAAATGGTTGTCACCAATATTGCTATTATTGTTAATAAAACAAGATGTTGAATATCACGAAGATGAGTACTGTTACACTCAGTGTCACTTCTTCTTGCTGTACTGGTTGTTTGGCATCACAGGTGAGCAAGAGCTGACAGCAGTGGGAAGCAGAGAGAGCCCTGGCCAGCCAGGCATCCAAAAGTAATAGAAAAACAATGAAGGTGTGGGAACTGACCACTGAGAGCAATAAAATCACACTTAAGATTTCAAAAGACATTTATGAGACTGGTCTTCAGGTATAACAAGGATTATTAAACTTCTTAAAACCTGCATATGCTGGGTGGTTGGTGCTGGTGGTGGCAGTGGCTCCTCACTCCTCCAGGAGCTCTGCATTGATGTTTTGTGCCATCTGCCCTGGGCATGCCCAGAGCTATCCATCTTCCCTGCATCTTTTTCCATCCTTGTCTGGCACTTGGCCCATTCTCTTTACTTCAGTCCCAGGTCCCCTTCCAGCATTTCTCACAGTCCCAGGTACACTGGCAAGCGGATTTCTTTTCCCTTTTAGTTACTCTGTTGAGTAGCTGCTCTCATTTGGACCTCTCAGTGGTCTTCTTTCCCTTCACCTCTGATCCCCGTGTCTCTGTGTTTGATCCATGGCTTAAGCAGCTGTTCTATCCCTGGGGTGGCTCGGTATTAATCAAGCCATCAATCAATCTTTTATCCCCTTCGTTGAAACTCCTTCTTACGCTTTCTCTTTTATCCTTGCAGTTTAAATCCTGGGCTTGGTGACCACCTGGTGGGATCCCGAATGCCGTGTCCAGTGTGCCTGCCAGCCCCTGAGGACAGCAACTAGGAGACATTCAGCACTGTGGCAGTGACACACAGGCTCAGAGGTGAGGGGTGGCCCTGTCCATGGCATCTCTGAAGAGAGCCAGCAGGATGGAGCAGGTTTTTCTGGAGAGGGCTGAGTGCTGGGAGATGCTCCCCAGGAGTGGGTGGTGCAGGGGAGCCTCGTGGCACTCGTTCCCTGTAGGAAAGAGTGTGATGCAGACACCACAGCGAGCCAGGGTTGTGTTTCTCACATTGCTGACCCCATGGTGGCTCCTGGTGGGACTCTTCTCTGAGTGCTGACCTTCCTGGAGAATCCCTGAGCAGCTGAGCTCTGCCTGCTGCACTCCTGAAGGTGTGGCAGCAGTGAGACTTATCATGGTTGCATATTTAATTTTTATTATTTTTTTTAAAGGTTTAATTCATTCTTCTTTTGAGATTTAGGGAATGAAGCAAAAGCACGTTATTTCTCCCCTGCAGATGAGAAGTGCAGTGCGTGCCTCCATCCCAACTTCTACAAAATTCTGTTTTACAAAGCAGAAAAAGAATATTGGGTTTATGTTGGAGCTGTAGCTCAGTTTTCTAAGACCAGATTTTGCCCCATGTTCCCTGTTCAAATGACTGGCTGTGCTGGGCACTTTGAAATTTTCTCTCTCTTTCTCATCTCCACCTTGACATTATGAAAAGGGTTTTCATCAATCCATTGAAAGAAGGAGATAACTTTTGTATAAAAGTGCACGGTTGACAGGGTTGAGTTTTTTGGGTAGTGTGTATTTTTTTTACACTGTTATTATTTAAAAGATGCTTTCTAAGAGGACAAAAGGGAATAGCTTAATGGAAACAAATTTCTGTAGCAAAATGTGCAGCTGGATAAAAAAAGATTATTTCTGTTATTGCTTGGTTACACAGGTGAATTTCGAATTTGAGTACAAAAGGTGTTAAAAAGTGTGCCTTAACTTCTCTTCACTGTGCTGTTGAGATTGAAAAGAATAATTTTTGGAGAAAAACTTTTCTCTGAGCCTCTATTTCCAGCATTGTCAAATCTTTAGCAGCGGCCTTTTCCCACAGCTATTATCATGTTTTCACCTTTTCTTCTTCCAGCTCATTTGTCCTTTTTTGAAAAAAAAATGTAGTGCTGGTGAAAGGCGGGCAGGGCTGTGGGCTGGCACTGATCTGGAAGGGAGGGACAGCAGAGTTGGAGGCACACAGGCATGTCTGGAAGCCAAACCAGACCAGGGATGCAGTCCCAGGGAAAGATGGACAGCCTGGCCTGGGGGAAGTCGTTTTGAAAGCATCTACAAGCCTACAGCCCTTAAGACCACCTTTCCAAAATGACTTTTAACCAATTAAGAACCTAAGCATCAATGAAGATAAGCAGAGCTTAGGTGCTCAGGCCCCTTGGGGCAGACACAAATATCTCAGCAATGCAGACAAATAGACAGTTTGCCTGTCCAGATGGATCCAGACCCAGAGCCAGGCAATGAATTACAAATATAAGTGCCAAAACAGCAGGCTTGGGACACAAAGGATAAAAGACAGTTGTGTTATTTGAGCTGATAAGCTCTGCATCTCGTCTGGAAGATGCTGGCATCAAAGGCTCCTGCAGGGATTTCACAATGGAGTGTTAACACCATCCAGCACTGAGTAACCCAAGATGTAAAATGGGCCTTGCAGAGAAAGCTTCAGGCCTGCCACAAAGGAGCAGAATTAGAGTTTGTTTTGAGAACTATTAGGCTGAATAATTTGTGATTGATCTCCATGGATATTGTGAGATATTGCTCCCAGCAGAGCAGTGATTGCCATTAGCATCTCAGCTCCCTGCCTTCTTCCTCCTTTTTCTCCCCAGCCTTTGCAAGGGTCAAACGCTTCCCAGGCAGCATGAACAATATTTCCTCCTTTTTTGGTAATCATTGTCCCTTCTATTCATTCCTCAGAAACCTTTTCACAAGCAAGAGGTATTTTCAAGGGTTGTAAGCATTCATCTCAATGTACATTTTTATGCCTATTCTCCTTGGAAGAGCTGGAAAACTAGTTTACTTTATTAGACCAAATGAAAGGAGCTTATGGAGGCAGCCTTGTGCAGGAGGTCAGGGAGCTAGAGAGGAGAGACCTCTGAGAGTGCTATGGAATTTCTTGCAGGAGCTGAAAAGTAGCTTTTGCTGTTTAGACTGGTGCTGTTCTTCCTTGCATTGTGCTGGCCCCGTTTCCAACACTGAGTGCTGAGGACTTCTGCGTGGTCCAGCCACGAAGGCTTAGGAGCAGTGACAACTGTAAGTACCTGGTATTGTCAAGCCTGGAGGTAGCCAGGCTCGCAGCATTGGGCTGCTCTGCCAGGGAGGAGGTGCCCAGGGGGCTCTGGTGGAGGTTCCCACCATGGGGAGCCCCAGCCAGCCCAGCCCAGGCCACACCCGACTGTGCAAACCCTTCTCTGAGCAGGTTCATGCACTGAGCAATGACTAAAACCCGTCTCCTGGGCAATTCACTTCATTCATCAATTAAATTGTTTGCTGTGAACGCTTTGGCCCCATCCAGCTCCAGGATTTCAGCCTTGTAATTTTGCTGGCAGGGGACAGCAGTGCCATGTCCGTGAAATCTGCCTGCCAACTGCTTCCCCTGCTAAGCATTTTCTAGGCTAACGATCCCAAAAACCTTGCCAGCAGCCCCAGCTCTGTCCCTTTCAGGGCAAGCCACTCATTTAAACGTGAGCACATCTAAATGACTCCATCTGCTAAGTGATGTTGGTAAAGAAAAGATTATAGCAGGAGTTAGTGCTGTGTCCTCGGGTTGTAACCCTGTTATAAAATGGGCTGGGAGAGCAAGGGGACTGTGAGGAGCTGAGGCTCAAAACCACCTGGGTGACTGTCAGCTTGATTTATTTTCTTGCTCATTAGATAAATTAGAAAACTGGCAAAAGAAATAATCTCCTGCTCTCGGCTGCTTGGTAACCTGCCACATGGCACGAGATGCCAGCTGCAGGAAGATGCAGCTCCTTCCTACCCCCCTGGCCCCTCTCCCCAGGGACACAGGATGGGACTTGGGTCTGCTAGTGCCACACATCTCAATCCTCCTGCCACCCTAAACCACCTCATTGACCCATCTGGCCGATTGCTGGCAACCACTAGAGTTTCACTTTTCTCTAATACCATTGGTTTTTGAATAGCAGCTATTTTCTAGGTGAAAACAGCAGCACCGAGTATTGCTTTTGAACACTGGCTTTGACCTCAGAACTGCTTGTTACTCTCATTTCACAAATCAGACAAGCTAAAGCAAAATAACCCTGTTTGTGGCTGTATCATCATGCAGGACCTCCTGCCCTTCAGAAATGTTGTTCAACACTTTGATCCTGTGGCGTGTGATCAGTCTGCCTTCAGCAGCTGGCCCCCTTGCTTATGAACCAGACTAATTTTTATCTGTCAGAAGAATGCTTAATGGTCAGACTTGATTTAAATCCCTGGGTAAAAGTCACTCTCTAGAAGGTTAGGCTCCATTTACAGCACCTCCTAACCTAAAAACTCAAATATTCAGCCTACATAACCAAATGTTAAATTTGGACCATTTAAGCCATCCTCAGTACCTTTAGCTGTGTCTGGTGCACTCCTATAGTGCGAAATGAGGCCACTGTTATACACATTGTATTTACACACGAGGAAAAGCTTCCAGACAGGATGAGCTATTAAAGAGACTGCAATGCAAATGCATTTCTCAGCCAATGTGGAGGAATCCCTGCTGCCAACAGATGCTGAAACCTGGGGGAGAGCCAGGGCAGGAGCTCCTGGGAAGGAGACCTGGGGGTTCCCAGCACTGCTGTGCCAGTGCAAGGGGGTGGGGGGCAATATCTGCCCTGTGAGTGATGGTCGGAGCAGATTTCGGTGCCCCTTCTTCTGCCCGTGGGCCTTGTGCAGTGCCTGCACAGGGTCCTGGTCACCCTGTCCCTGGCCAGCATGGGGACACACGTGTCCCGGTGGCTCAGAGCCCCTGCCAGCTGTGTGCCATGTGTACAAACCGGGTGGAGAGTCGGGGCTAATTCCTTCCTGTCATATGCGAGGAATCGGCTTACGGCCGGAGCTCCGATTACTCTTATCTTAGCCTGCATGTTGCTGGCCACATCCTGAAATCACCCGGATTTTTCCAAAATCCAGGGGATGGCTTGGACTCGCCCGACTGCCATGAGCAAACTCCAGGCCTGCTTTTTGAGGGGTTGTGAGTCAGTGCAGAAATTGGGGCATGTCATTTGAACCTCCATATGCACCTGATGGGAAGTGCCTGGGGGTGATGCCCAATCCACCTGAAATTCCTGATGGAGACCCACACGGAGCAACACCAACAGCCCCTTCCCAGCCTCTGTGCAGAGCTGGATGCTCAGGCAGACTCACCTGCTGGGATCCTGGCAGATAACATGCCTCTGAAATGGGCAGCCAGGGAGAGAGGCTGTCAAGCAAAACATGGAGTGAAATGTTTGGCTGTGAGTCCCACCTGTCTGCTGTGTGACATGTGGCACTGCACCCTGCACCCGCCACCGCTCCCCGTTCCCCACCACTGCCTGCCAAGCCCACCCCGCTTGGAAATTCGAGTGGGGAAATCAAAGTCCTTCTCCACCCACTCCTGCTGTGCCTCTCAGCCACTGACATTAACACCGAACTGGCTGACATTAGCTTTGAATGGATTTTAATAACCCCCCTGTGAGCCTGAATTACCCACACAGCGTGAGGGCCACTGTGAGTGTGGAGATGTGGTGATGAGCAGGGCACTGGGGGCCAGACCGGCTCCCCGGGCTGTGCACACAGGACCAGACCCACTCCAGGAGCTGCAGTGGCTTCTGCCAGTGGCAGCTGCTGGTGGGGAGCCCTGGCTGTTGCCTGGCCCCTGGAGAGCTGCTGCTCTGGCACCTGCTGCCCACAAATGTCCTGCCACCAGCAGCTCTGCAAGGGGCTGACGAGCTTCCCAGCACTGTCTGCTGTCATCCCCCATCCCACTGGTGTCCAGGTGTCTGCCTCCATGGGATGTTCTCCCCTTTGGGGTATGGTATGGCTGCTGCAGGGTGGTGAGAACCCCCAGTACCATCAGTGAGAGCATCCCCAGCCCCTACCAGTGCATGGCGTAAAATAGCAGCCTTGGTTTAGCTTCCTCTGTGCATGGGATGCTAAATGCGATCATGCCTGGCCCAGCTGGGAGTCTGGACTAGGGTATGAAAATCTAGCAAGAAGATTAAAAGGTGTCCCCAGGCAGAAGAGGGTATTTATCCCTTCCTTTGTGGCTGAGATGCGCATGGCGTGGGAGTCACAGGGACAGTGACCTCCCCTGGGCACCTGCACGTGGACAGCGCCGTGTCCCCACGGGGTCTGGTCTTGGGGACAAGACACTGACCAGAAAAGCTCCTTCTGAGGTACAGGTGGGCACATCCAATCTCCCCTCCTGCACCAGGAAAGGGCTTCCTGCCCTGCATCCTCACTGCCATCCCTGCAGCTCCTCTGCAAAGGGAAAACCACTCATTTTCCTTTTCTTTTACAAGAGGGAAAGCTAAAAGAGATGGTCAGGTGGTTCTCACTTCTTCTGGAATATGCAGGGCCTGAAAACACGCTCTGAAGTTACTTTTCCTCAGTTAAAGCTCACAAGAGCTGAGCAAGGGATGCAGCCTTCTTGGCCAGTCACAAAGTCACATCACCGTTTGGGTGGAGAGTGATGATTTCTAGCTGCCATTGAAACCCACAGATATTTCCAGTATGGAAACAGGAACATCCACAGGGATATGGACAGGAGATCCCAACTGGGGTGGGCCAGCAGCTTCTCCAAGTTGGGCTCTACAGGAGCTGTGAAATCATAGGCACTTGCAAGAACTGAGTACTGATAACAACCCCTGCAAAAAAGCCCATGATAAGGATTGAATTATATTTAAGAGGCTCCTTCATACTAAGTAAATGCAAATAGTTTACTCAGAAAATATTTCCCACTAAGATCTTTTCTACATAAAATGCTAACAGATTGAGATTATGACTCTAATGATTATTTTTATTGCTGGTTTACATTTAAATGGCATATATTTCCCCCTACTGTTCTCTCTTTGGGTTAAATCAATAAAACCTATTAAGAAGGTTCTTCCTCTATGATTCCTCCCTCTCTTCTCTCTGTCTCATCTCCACTGGTGCCCTTTTTATCCACCCACCACCAGAGATTTTTCAGAGCTGCCTCCACGATATTGGTGCCAAGGATTTGAACATCCCCTTTGACAGAGCGGAGTGAATCCTGTCTTTGCTGAGATGAGGGACTACAGAGGAACTCCAGAGCTGTTCCTTTTCCTTCTCTTGGGCTGTATTGCAAGGAGATGGGGTTGGAGCCTCCTCTAACATAGAATCTATACCTGTCCCTACTCCTGTACCTCCTCAGCTATGGATGCTTTTGTGCTCCTTCAAACACTGCCTGTGGCTCACCAAGGAGGTGCTGGATTTCTGTTTGGAGAGGAATTATCCTGGTATATATGCATTGAAAACCATTAAGACTCTGACCTTTAAATTGGGTTTCTTCCTGCTCATGTAGGGAGGAGGTGGGTTGAGTGCCCAAATCTTATTCATTTTAATGACAAATCCCTCACACAGAGGCTTTGAAATGCTCAGCATTAATGCAATTCGCCTCCCCCTGCTGCAGCTTGGCCTTGCTGTGCAGGGGATGTCTCTGCTTCCCTCTCACAGTGACAGACCCTATAGATTTGCTCCATAACTGCTGTGCCCAGGTACCTTTGTGTATGGATTTGTGAGCTTAAGGCAGTGCTAACACAGGGATCTCCATGCTCCTTAATCAGTATCACTGACCTTTCTTTCCTTCATTACTCTCAGCATCACTTTTTTCCCCCCAGCTTAATTTGCATAGGTCTCATGTTATCCATGCTTTTGCTTTGTGCCTGTTATCCCATTACCCTGGATAATCAAAGTTGGCTGTAATGAAAACAGCAGAAACAATTTGCTTACCCTTCTATTACAGGATATTCCCTCTACTAAGTCTGAGAATACCTGCAGTTCTGTGGTAATGCTAATTAACTGTGCATACATATAGAAAGTAAAGCAAAGGGCACCAGGATCCTTCGGGATTGTGGGGATTAAAAAAAGATGAGATATTATTCTCCTCTTTCCCCGTGCTTCACTGTCCCTACCCTCAATGGAAATTGCTTTGCACTTACAGAATAAAATGTAATACATGGCGGAGGAGTCACTGACTCTGCAGAGAGATGGAGTTGGAAGGAGCAGAGTTCTCTCTGCTAGAAAACCCACTATGGAAACAG